CTTTGTGACAAGAGGATGACCCAAATCCAGATGGTGGTGGTGATGATTAGACTGTGAGTGGTCCTCATCCTGTGGGGTAGCAACTTGGCAACAGCAGCGCAATCTGACGCAAGGCAGGAAGCAAGCGACGTCGAGGTGTTCTGAAATCCGGAAGGGGCAGGGGGGGAATAATACACGTCTGTGGAAAAAAATAGCGCTTCATAGCTCATCGGATTCCTCCAGCATGCACGATCTCGGACACGCATTTGCGTGGTGCTGCGTCTTGGTGACTTGACTGACACGTGGCATTTTGGTTGTGTGTGCGTGAAGTTACGGCCAACGTCCACATTGCTTGCCGTACCGTACACGTGCAACTGGAGCGTGGCCACATCAGTGGCGCGCGATGATGAATCGTTTCCTGTAATATCCATGATCAAGTTCACGATGATATTCATGTAGAGTACATTGCAATCGCACTGTGGATACGATTTGATGTCCCCCCCTCCCCTTCCTACGTGTTGTATGCAATCATCATCAACCATCAGAAGTAGCCGTGGTCCATCCACTGAGGGATAAATCTTCCCCCCACCCCCGTCAGAAACCGAGCTGCTAGACAGCCTACGACGACCCTGTGATGTAACAACCTCAATGTATTGCTCCATCTCCTGGGTGGATGGGCTCTGGGACGCGTTTCATTCTTTCATTCCTTGGCCGCCACGATAATAATTCTCCTTCCGTGTGTGTGGGTTTCGCGGTTTATTGAAGATACAATGTTGATGCATGTGACTTCCCCAGCAGGGCAAAGCTCGCTTCTTACGAGATCTCCTCCTCCTTGGACAGAATCACTCTAATAATTCCTAAAACCATCATCCCTTCTGGCCACTACGCGCGCTTCCCAAGTTATTTAAATGAGAGTCTACGTATAAGACCCCCACCCACTACCACCACAGCACTTTCCCAGGATCGCCGTCATTGCCCCGATATGACATCGGCCAGCCCCTGATTTCTCGGAAGGCGGCACGGGGTGGGGGGGGAGGCTTGTTTGTGCAGCAGTGGGCTCGCCCGCGGCTCCGTGTCGCTCTAAATCGATCCCCGTCTCACGTGGAGGAGCATCGCAGAGACGTCGATTCTGAATACGTTTTGAGTAAAGGAAATGTTTCCATTGTCGCGAGTTAACTTCCTGCCACGCCCAAGCCGCAAAAAGGGAAGACTTCACTTATTCAATGAGCCGCATTTTGCCCTGAAATCGAAAACGCAATGTTGATCATCGTGATCTCCTATTTAGCCTGGAAGCCTGTATCGTGTAGGAGAGCAAGCAACCCCCAGCAACCCAACGTTTCCGACCGCATGCCAATGGTTGGCATGTTTTCCGGGAAGTCGTGTTTTAATACGAATTACTTACAGTGATGGATGAAGGCCTCCCAATATTTTGGCCGTTGGGGTTGTTTGGGCCCCCAACTTGACCACCAACGCCGGTCAGTGCGCGTTGGTGAACGCCACGAGTCCAGACCATCACTCGCCGCTGATGTTAACATGGCAATCGATCTCGGGTCACCGGGTTACCGCGCGGATTCGAACCGTGAACTTCTGCAAAAATTGCAAGCGCCGGGGAGCGTGTTACCCCCCCCCCCCCCCCCCCCCCCATCGAACACGTCAAGCATCGGTGGTTTCAAATAAATACAACACGCACATGCTGCATTGTGACCCGACAAACAAGTACGGTGAACCCACATCCTTCGCTGGCAGCGTCCCGTACGGCGCACATTGACGGTGCAGTGATTTGTGTATTTCTCTCGCTCAGTGGGGGGGGGGGGGGGGGGGTTGCGTGCTCTTCTGCTGTGTATCGTGGCAGCAATACGTGCGGGAGGTAAACGCCAACGTCGCGAGGTTCCTGCTCGCCACGCCGAGAGGGGCTTCGGCAGTGTTCACGTACGCGTACTATATTGTACATGGTGGTCCAGATGTATTGTGCCCCCCCCCCCTACACCCCAATTAATTCACCAATACATTCCCCCCAATGCCCCGTGATATGTTCATTAAAAAAAAAAATTAACCTTACTTTAAAAATATTAAGTTTTCGATAATTAAATATGGGTCACAAGACATCTGGACTCCGCTGTAGTTGTGCCATCCCCGACGTTGAACACAATCGCCTGTGATTCACTATCTGCATGGCCACAATCGCACGACTGCCGATTGCCTTTTAACTTTCCACTCATGAAGGAGCTGTGCCCATCGGGGAACTATTGTTTTACATTGACAGCCACACAATCAAAAGAGAACACGTGGATTAGAGAACACACGCGGGGTTTGTTGGGACAAATTCAATCAGTTTTCGAGAGAATGAGTGGGGTGGGGGCAAGACGGACAACTTCGCTAGACGGTACGACAGCAATGAAGTGAACTGCCAAGGAATGGAACGCATCCGTGATACCGAGGAGGATCAGCTGGTTGTGCAGGTGAGAGTCGGTGGATTGTTACATGGCAGCCAAGAAACCCGTGAGAGATGGCAGAGGCTTGGTAGAGGCAGTCATCCAGCAGTGGATTGACCATGCCTACTGGTGCTGATGATGATAATGGCTCGGGTAAAACAAACGCCCTCTTACAAAAAAAGTTACAGAGCATCGATCGGTGACGAGATGTTACCTACCTTGCCGGGTATACAGGAGGCTGGTGGGTTCGATTCTGATCCTGACACCTGCTGTATATTTGGAGTTTTCACGTCTCTCTTTCTCTCGCCGTGGTCGCGTGGATTTTTCTTCGGGTCCTCTGGTTTTCCCCCTCCACATTTCTAATCGTCTCTACGCCTTTAGAGTATTTGGCTGCTGCTATACAATTCCACACGGTGATAAGGCACTTCATACCTGTCAACCCATACGGTTTACCCCGTGTTCTTCTACAGGGCAATTGAGTTTTCAGGTCCACACAGCGTGCAGCCGTATCAATACGGGCAACATTTTTTAGTCATTTAGTTTGTGTTTCTCACCCTTGTGATGGGACTTTGTAGGATGAACGTTGAGATTCATAAGCGCACGGGGTGACTAATACAGTCTGAATTGGTCTGTGATAAGGTAGGGCGCTGATAAGGGATTGCCATATGTGTAATAGTGTAGTGTATAGAAGTGTATATCGTAGTGTATATGTTGCACACTCGAAACGAAGGACGTGGGCAGGTGCTCCAAATCGAGGGCAAACACATTGATTGTGGTTAATCTGTAGAATGCCACAGCACGTGTCACACACAGCAATTATTCACCGAGTCGCCATTAACCACGTGACTTGTGTCCACGTCCAGTTAATCATTAACAGTTGTCTCTTCAACCCACTTCTACTACTGATAAACCATCTTTTTTTCTTTGACAATAACATTTGCACTTCGGCTATTCGAATATTACTTTAATCCTAAGCTGTATGTCTATCTATACCATGCACTTATATTGGTATCTTACACACATTATCTGTACTGTATGTGTACAGTATACATACTGTATTTGTCACCATTGTACAAGTTACTACTTTACATGTGTTCTATTCTCAATAGCATTGCCAGTAGTCATACTCTGGGTACATGGGCATGGTTATAAAATAAACAGTATTAGGGTTAGAGAATTTTTGAATTACAAGTATTAACTACAGTACACCATCCATTACAATGCACAGTACTAAAACCCGTCCAATTGAATATATCACAAACTAGCAATTCAAAGCCAAGCTTGAAGTCTAGAACAAGTCTAGAACATTTATATAACGGTCAAAAACAACCTTTGGGTCCTTTGCCTGTAGAATGCAACAGCACGTGTGTCACACACAGCAATCTTCACTTAGTCGCCATTAACCACGTGGCTGGTGTACACGTCCGGTGAATAAATAACCCTGCCAGCCACCCACAGGCCCAACTCAGTCATCACATGCTGGTGTACACACGTGCATTGATGTACTGCACAGGACTTATTAAAAGAGTGGTCCATTCCTAATGTGCCACATATAGTAGTGTCGTGTGAAGGATAAACTTTGAGATTCATCAGGGCACGGGGTGACCAATAAGGTCTGAATTGGTCTGTGATGAAGTAGGCACTGATAAAGGATTGACAGATATATAGTAGTGTGGTGTATAGTAGTGCATAGCGTAGTGTATAGTGTAGTGTATAGTAGTGTAGTGTGTAGGATGAACTTTGAGATTTATAAGGGCACGTGGTGATTAATACGGTCTAAATTGGTCTGTGATAAGGCCGGCACTGATGAGGGTTTGTAGATAGGTGTGCACTCGTCGTTGAGCTAACATTTGTGATAGCCAGTGTCGCTTCTGGAAAAAAAAAGCAAGCTGTACAGCCCAGTGGGCCTTATCTAATCAAATAATAAACAGTTTACAGTTTCGATAATTGTTTGTTTACCCTTCTATCTGGCAACAAAACTGACACCTTTTTTTTACAAGGAGTCATGTTTGCATAGTCTCACATGGGTTGGACCAGATGACGTCTTTTGGCGTCATCTGGTCCAACCCATGTGAGACTAGGCTCTAAGGAAAGCTGTCTCGGGTGTGGACCAATCAACTTCAAGGACAGTGCATACATTATCAGAGTTATGTTTTTTGTTTGCATTATGACTGCAGGTATTGTGGTCTATGCAAACATGACTCCTTGTAAAAAAGGTGTCAATTTTGTTGCCAGATAGAAGGGTAAAAAAGCAATTATCATATTTTTTACTGGCAAATGAGGTTCCAATGGTGTAAAAGTGTACAGTTTCATTCACGTCCCAATTAGTTCTACCTGATGACGGTTGCGTGTATTGCAATCGAAACGTCGTACTCTATTATTTAATTCATTTTCTTTCTACGTGCCTTCACCGAAAGAACCAAAGAGTAATTCCTGTAAGTCACGAAAGCATCAAAGCAAGTCCCCCCATTCATTCCATTCACGAAATGTCACTAGGGAATCGATTCCAGTTCTCCCGCGCGCCAAATCGAGCGTCGGCCTTGAGAATCGATCCGGCGTCTCCTGCCCCTCCCACTGCCCTGCCCCCCCCGCCCTGTCTCACGTTGCCTTGCTGTCACATTTGAGCGGTCGTCATTGTCCTGTAGTGTCGCGAGTCAATAAAAACACAACACACACACACACAGCACACGATACGCAACAACAGGCGGCGAGTACACACTTAACATACGCACGCGTACACAACACAGACGTTCACGCAACAGCATACACAGCAGCAGCAGCACACCACGTTGAAGGAAGACAAACAAACCATCATGAACCCTCAGTACCAACGCTTGGACGAGGCCGGTGGCTACCGACCGGGTCCCATGGGGGTCCCGATGCAAGACGTGTGCGCCGGGGTGGTCGTGGTGGGGCCGGGATACGATCGCGGGGGTCCACCCCCATCGTCTGGGTCGCCTCCCGGCATGGTGAACGCCGGCCCCTGGGAGTCGGGCATCGTGTCGGAAGTCCGCGACTATTTGGCGTGGTCGCTGTGCAGCATGATGCACGTCAACGTGTGCTGCCTTGGATTCCTGGCGGCTGTTTTCTCCATCAAGGTGAGATCCCCACCCACCCCACCCCCACCTCACCCCACCCACCCCACCCCACCCACCCGTACCTGCGCCGTCGCTTCCTTACCTGTGCGAGTTCTCACACCTGTCACAACCCCTTGTCGGATCGATTCAGAGATTATTGGTCACCCCGTGCCCCTTTAAATCTCAACGTTCGCCCTACAAAGTCCCGGCACAAGGGAGAAACACAAATAAATAGACAAACACAATGGGTAGTTTTTTTGCCCCGCTTTGAAACGGCTGTTCAATGTGTGCAAAAAAAACCGAAAGAACCTGCAAAACCCAATGTCCCTGCACGGTTATTAAGGACTCCATCATCGTCGTCGTAGTCGTAACCACCGCCACCATCTGACCTCCTAAGGTCGTCTCCGCGCTCACACAGGCGACGTTGGCCTCCTCCTCACCGTCTCATCATCACCACCACTTCTCTCCAGGAGTCTTGGGTCTTTGTTGCGAAAAAAGTTCAATGGTGCCACGCCAATTGTCTGTCCGTGACATTTCTCCCCAACTTGCACAGCAGATGCAACCTCCCTCCTTAATGTTTAGAGAAACATGTCACTGCCCCCACCCCCCACCTTCCTCCACAACATACCCAAAACAAAACAGTAAAATGTACCCCCTCCTTGAAGATGGTTTCCGCTTATTAAAAATGTGTGTTCCACTACACGTGGACGGATAACATCGAAGCATGGCCGAGACTCGCGCTGCAGGAAAGCAGAAGTCGGTGGCGAAGGATGATTGCCCAAGGTGCGTCCAACCCTCGGATCGAGGATGGTGGAAGACGACGAGAAGAATACACTGCCGTATATTCCAGCAATTAAACACCGCACCGAACGTGTACTGACTGAACTGACCTTGCTCGCACTGCATATAAGTCGACGGGTTAAGGTTTTGTTTTCGCCCGAAAAAATAAATGCACAAGACGACCGATGCAGCAGCATTATAAGGCTAAGCTGCTCTGAGCCTGGACAGTGCTTGGATGAGCGACCACCATGCATTAAAAACTGGTACTCATAGGATACTGCAGTTCTATGTTGTGGATTGCAGAGCCCATTGCAGCAAAATCCTGTTGTACTGCATTTCAATGCCAAACCCCCCCCCCCCACGTATATGTAACTCCGCCTTAACTGGCATTGAACAGTGTGTGAACTAAGGTCAGATGACCACCACGACTCACACGTAGACATTGTTCGAGTCGAGCAGTGGCTTGACAGTGGGCTGCACAAATCTGGCTGTCGCCTGATGATGCTGGTTGTAATTACTGGCGAAACGTCGCACTCGAATTGTGAATGTTGTGCGTTTACTCTCCAACACACCGGTGTGCTATGCTCGTAACGAATTAGCACGTTTTGTTTACGTGACAAACCTTACTAATTGGCTGTGTCGGGTGGTGGCGGGTTTAACAACACATTTACGCGATCTAACCCAGAGAAACATCTTGTGGATAAAATCGGTTGCGAAAGCCTACGTGTTAAACTTGGGCTGCACTTGTCCAAGACGTCTGTGGATAATAACAGGCAAAGGTCAAACCACAACCATAAACCCTAACCACAAACCCGTAACGTATCGTCCCTACTCCTACACCCCAACCAATAATCCCAATCTAAAACAAACACCACTGGGCAACCTGAAGTGCGGAAGGCCGATAGGTCGATGTCATAAAACGTAATTGTATTTTTGTACTTGGAGAGCCAGACTTGTTGATTTATTGTTGTCTTCCTCGATGATAAACAACGCACACGATCAGGGTTTGTGCACGTTTCCTGTGGTGTACTCCGAGCAAGTAGTGTGGTTGGATGTATGGATCTTATCTGTGACATGCCACCCAGATGGCATCGTTTAATCGGACTAACATTTCTGAAGAATCCCAGAGAGTTGACACCGATGCACGTGCTATTGCTCCTCCACAATATTGGCGTAGGCCAATAAGTATGTATTTATTTTGAACGTATTTCGAACTTTTCTAATGCGAAGTGCGGGGAAAGGACAACAAACTAAACACAACAAGCAGTTCTAAATAAATTAGTTTTCAATCTAGATTTAAAAGTGCATGGCTCCAGTGGCTTCCTAAATTCGGGAGGAAGAAAGGTGGCAACGTGGTTAGACTAGTGTTTCACTCACTAACATGGTGTAGGTTATGAGTTCAAGCTCTGGTCTGGGGCCAACTTGACATCTTATCTTCCTATTCATTCATTGAGATAAGTATTCGACAACCCTTGCCAAGGGAATGTGGAATTTCCACTTTTGGCTAAATGTCCCCAATGGATGAGAGTGATGTCCCCTTTGCTTGTCTGTGCACAGGGAGACATTTGGTACACATGAAAGGAAGATGCACGCTATTCAGTAGCGTAGCATGGTTGGCATGGTTCCCTGCTTCACGGATTGAAACAGGGCCTCCTTTTCAGATTTCCACCACCTTCATAGTCGGCACCTTGACCCCTCCGGCCCATGGGCCGTGGTGCAGTTGCACCGCCTTTCACACTCTCATCTGCGTGCAACTTTGAGGCTATTACTATAGGTAAACACTCAGAAAATAAAACTTTCACTTCCCATGTAAAACACTTAACCGCTTACCCATCGGATAATGTACTCATTATTTTTTAATTATTACTGAGTGGCAGCCAAGGAATGGAACGCTTCCAAGATTACATCCGGCGATGATGTAGATGGATGTAATTAGCTCATGTTTAGGTGCTCGGTGGATAATTGCATCCCAGGGTCGTGAGAAATGGCGATGGCTGGGGGAGCCCTTAATATAGCAGTGGACTGACCATGGCCGTTGATGAATTATTCCCTCTGCTAAAAACAGGATCTGTGAAGAACAGGAAAAATAAGTGTGTTCGTCAATGATTACACAGTCTTTTAAATGCCAGTGTCTGGCCCTAAGGCACATAAGTTACACATTGCAGTGCCTTGTGGGAATGGGCTGTACACACTGTACAGAGTTGGCAGGAAGTGCCTATACTCCTACCTTAGCGGTTAATCTGTCATCAGCAATCCAGTGCTGGATGAAGACCTCCTCAAGCCTTCGCAATCTGTCACGGTCCAGCGATTGGACAATTCACCCAGCTCCTGGATGCAGGCAGAACTTAACATCGGACCAATCGCGGTGGCCATATTTTTCGGCGTGTAGCATTCTTTGGCTGCCACTCCTCCATCCATCACGACCACCAGTCGAGCGGCAAAGTCGTAGCCAAGTAATGAAACGCGTCCTAGACTACGTCAGCCAAGGAGACGGAGCAGTAGCTAGGTGGATTTTTACATTGCTGGAACGGCGGAAATTTTCTGCGGCTTGGGAGGGCCTTCATCAGATGTCAACTACCTTGCTTGGTATACAGGAGGTCGTGGGTTCCATCCCAATCCTTGCATGTCTATCTTCCCAATAGTTGCGTGGTTTTTTCTCCGGGTCCTCCGGTTTTTCCCTCCACATTTAGAATCAACATGCGTTTACAGGATTTGGCTGTTATAAATTATTTCCACATGATAAGCCACTTCGTTCAGCTATCATTTGTAATAGCCAGGTCACTTTTTAAAACGAGCTATATAGCTCAGTGAGTCTTAACTGGTAAAAAATAAAAAAGCAGTTCATCCATCAGTGCATTGGCCATGATTTATGATGCTGATGAAGATGTTGGTGAAAGTTGCAAGGGGTATAGAGAATTTCCCCACCATCTACGTCCTTCCCAAGTACAACTGTGTAGGTTTTTCACGGTTTTCTCCATGCAGCTTTCCACTGCGTTTTCTTCGGGTTGTTACTACTGTGTGTTCGGTTCCTGTAGAAGCTCCCCCAGCATGTGCAACGAAACTCCGGGACGTTGTGCTGAACAACACGCCGCACACATCCGAATACACGGTCACCTTTTGCAGGCATTGGAGCGATGACTTTTAATCTGTGGAGACTAGAAAAACCGGAATATCACAATAAGAGAAACTGCTTTGTGCCGGACTAGGCATAACACGGTTGTAGCCACGGGGAGGGGGTGACTTTCAATGTCTCCTCTTAAAACAACAGTTCATGGCCGAGATCAGATAGTAATCCTGCCATTGTCGATACCAACCCCAACCCAAGATAAAATGTAATAATACAAAGCCATTGCAAGCCTTATATGGTATGTTGAACTTATTTTGCACTGTAAGTAGCCAACCATGCTAATTGGAAGTGCGGGGAGGGATCAACAAACTAACTTCTTCTTGGTTCGTTCGGTAAAGTCACGAAGAATAGAAATAATAAAATAATTAAAATAAACATAATAAAATAATTCTCACGACGTTTCGGCCACAACGCAAGCAGCCGTCCTCAGGTGAAGAACAGGTCTGTCATTCAGACTCTGTCTTATCGACAGACCTGTTCTTCACCTGAGGACGGCTGCTTGCGTTGTGGCCGAAACGTCGTGAGAATTATTTTATTATGTTTTATTTTTTATTATTTTATTACTTCCCTTCTACGTGACTTTACCGAATGAACCAAGAAGATGAATCCCTGCAGTCACGAAAGCTTTAAATCGAAATTTAATTATTTTATTATGTTTTATTTTTATTATTTTATTATTTCCATTCTACGTGACTTTACCGAAAGAACCAAGAAGATGAATCCCTGCAGTCACGAAAGCTTTAAATCGAAGTTCTTAATTATTTTGATTTGAACGTCCCCCCATTTTTGTTTCACTTGTTAAACGCGACCGTGGATGTTTCTTTCCCCCCTTCCCCACCCCTCCGTCTGCCGTTGCGTTGTGGCGCAGGCCCGGGATCGCAAACATCTGCACGACGTGGCGGGTGCACGTCACTACGGCAACATCTCGCTGACCCTCAACATCATCGCGTTGCTGCTTGGCCTGGTGGTGTGCGGGCTGTTCATATACGGCGTGATTATGCTCGCCAACAGCTACGTCGACATCATGCACAAGCTGGACCACGAGAATCAACCCTCCACCTTCAACAACAACAACATGATTGGGTAGTTGTTGCCCACGTGGGTTGTTGTGTAGGGATGGGCTAGGAGGGGAAGCCAGGCACGTGGGTGTGGGAACAAGGAAGTTGGGGTAGCGCGAAAGGTTTTATTCGCGAATTTGTGGCTTGCATACTTCGCGTTGGGTTTTTTTTGTGCAAAAGGTGGAAAGTTGCCTTATCAGTTGCAAGTTGATATTAGTGGTAATATGGCCGAATTGGATTGCTGCATGGCCAGTATTTTCACTAGATATTGGCGGAAAGCGCTTGTACAATTTGGAAGAATGTTTCATTCCCTGCCAAATGTTGGTTGGGGGAAATTGTTCTCCCAAATAATTAGTAAAAAGTGCCTCCGCCAACAAATTGAGACCCGCACGGTGTATTAAGCCTTAAAATGGTATTGCAGTCAACTTTACAAAGAATTTGACTTTTTAAATACGTGAAAATATAATTTTAACTAAATTGTGTTTGCGGGGAAAGGGATTTGAAAACAATAATTTCAACAAAAATATCTACCAGCACCACCCCCACTGATTTTTTTTTTACTTTACTTCTTCAAAAAGACCCAGACTGTAAAATTGTAGGATCACGTTAAGATTCACATCTTGACGAAACGGCCGATTCACTTTACATCGTGTCAGCGATTTGCTTGATTTTTTTTGCCAAAATAATCGCAGAGGAAAGCCAACATCGTTGTGACAAAGACCACCCGTATAGCCTTTAACGGAATGATGGGGCAAGTGCTGTTGAAGGCTGGCATGGCGCACAACAGGGGTGGGTGGCCAACACCATACCCGGCCGGCCGCCTTTGTCTCCCCAGTGCTGATATTTAAACAACAGGCTGAGTGGACAAAGGGGTAGGCCCAGGACCGGTTCAGATAATCATCACTGGTGTTGGCCGTGAGCGGGAATCCAACTTGGGTCGCCGGGTTCGTAGCGCTGCACGCTAACCGGTGCACTACAGACACACACAATATGCATTCAGAGCAAACAAATCAATACATGATACTTCATAGCAGTTTATACGGGAACCCATTGTACGCGTCAATCACCGGCAGTGCCTGAACTAATCCAATCAACGTGATTTGTTTGACACCTGCCGAGGAGAACCCTCAAGGACTGCAGTTGAAACTTCCGTCCCGTTTACCACCCGATGAACAAGCAGCAAATATTTAACCAACAGTAGCACTTGTTTCGTCGCTGACTTAATTTCACTTTTAAAAAGGGATCTTTATTTTTACGAGGTGGATGTAGACGAAAGAATCGCACGTGCTGTTTTAGTATAATCACATTGGTGTTGCTTTAGATAGGTGTCTTTTTTATTAATATGGATAAAAGCTCAAGGGACAGTCCTAAAATGTCTTGCTTGTGCAGTTGCTGGTGGAAGGGTATCCACTGGAGGGAGCCCTGGAGGACTAATACGAGTCCAGTAAAAGCTTGGATTGCGAGTAACTTTGTCTGCGAGTGTTTTGCAAGACGAGCATTTTTTTAAAATATATTTTAACTTGATGGACGAGCGAGGTCTTGCAATACGAGCAGTACGTATACGCTTTGTCTGCCGAGCGTCACGTGATCACAACTGAGCCGATGGTTCTTCTCTCTCGCTGCGGGATTGTGGGTAATCGTCTCCCATGCTCGGTCTCAGTCGGCGTGCCTCACTCGTATAGTCAACATCCGTGCGAGCGTACAGTATACTGTTTACTAGTGTTGTGATCACGTGTGTGTGCATAAAGCGTTTTTTTTTTATTTTGTGTCCAAGTGTAGTGACTGTTCTTTAGTACACATTTCCGCGAAATCCTCAAAAGGAGGCAAAAACAAGTGTCATTGGATATGTTCCTTGTTAAAGTCGCACAAAAAGAAAAATATTCCAGTGAGCCAACAGATAGCAGTGATTCCATTAGTGACAGTGAAAGTCATCCTACACAATAACCCTCCTCCTCTCCTCTCTCTCGTCTCCCTCACACCAGCCACGATTAAATTTAATGAATACATTTGATTACTTTATATTCAATTTAAATAATACAAATATTAAAAGGTATTTTGTATTAATCATTTTTTATGAATATTTTCGGGTTGTGGAACGAATCATCTGAGTTTCCATTATTTCTTATGGGGAAATTCGCTTTGATATACGAGTGCTTTGGATTACAAACACGTTTCCGAAACGAATTATGCTCGCAATCCAAGGTTTTACTGTGATGCACGTTACACTACAGGCAGTCCCCGGGTTACAGAAGGGTTAGGTTCCAGAGAACGATCCGTAACCCAAATTACCCGTATGTCGGAAACTGAACAATTTCCCCCCCCCAAACTCGAGATTAATTCCATTTTACCTTAATCCTCGTGAAGCTCGTGGGAGGTATGAGGCGGCCGCCCGCTTTACGCCTCGCTCCGCGGTGTTCGTCCGCAACCTCACTGCGCTGCACTGCTTGCGTTTGCACAACTAAGGCAAACATTTACACGTCTTAAATTTTTTTAACACTTTAGGGGGACCATTTTCGTGAGGTCGGATTTCCGCAAGTCGGGTCTTACGCAACCCGGGAACTATTGTAGTGGATTTCCTCTCTTTAATGCGGCTTTATTTCGTGCCATTTCCCGTATATATCCAGATAACCTATTTATACCCAAAATTCGCTCAGCACGGTTTAAATTCACTACACACGCGGCTTTACAGTTTGACGTGGGACAACATTGTGTGTGTGTGTCGCAGAACCGGCCCTAGACCTTTGGGTGCCCTAAGCAAAATATGGTTGGAGGCCCCTTTGATGTATGATTTTTTTCACCCACGAGCTAGCAGTGACTCTAGGGGGCCCTCTGCTGGCCACGGGGCCCTTTGCAATTGCAAGGGTCGCTTAGTGGCTGGGCCGGCTCTGGTGTGTCGTATAAAGTGTGTGTACTGTGTCAGGTCTCCGTGCAGTTTTTCTTTGTGCGCCATTTTCTTTGAACGCATCTACCGCATAAAGCCACGGGTGGCGAGATGTTAGCTACCTCGCCTGGTACACAGGAGGTCATGGGTTCGATCCAGACCCTGACGGCTGTCAATATGGAGTTTGCAAGTTTTCTTCCCACGGTCGCGTAGATTGTTCTTCGTGTCTAGAATCATCCGTTTGGACTATTTGGCTGCTAACAATGAGGAAAGTTTCTTCAACTGGCACCCTCCCCCCCACACCACCGCTACTGTCCACCGATTAATACCATCGGCAGGCAGGTCGTGTCTGGTAAGATAAAATGTGGGCATTTCCACCTCTTCCAAGACGCCCACTTCCCCACTTACCAGCTTGCGAAAAGTAGGCCAAAACACTTTGCGGAGGGGCTCTGTGGAAACAGCTGCCTGTAGTGGAATCCCTTCGGCTAGCGTGGCATTGATGCAAGCAATTGCAGGGCTGCGCCTTTACCTTTCACGCACGTTGTTCTGCTTCCAGCACTGAGAGTGCCCTTATTTTTGTGTGGTAGGAACGTGTGTGTGTGTGTGAGAGCTCTCGTTATATTTTTCTTATTATTGAGAAATCGTCATCTGGTTAGGCGACCTTTGTGTTAGAAGAATTTGTTGGAATGCAACTTTATACTTTTATAATGTTTGTTGTGTATGGTGTTTTTGTTTGCCATCCATCTATTTAGAGCCAAAACCCGCAGCTTCCTCACTACTGCTTAAAATAAATAGTGTGCTTCTGTGAATAACAACACATTTTAAGCAACCTAATGCGTGCATTGTAAGCGATAAAAAATGTACAGATCACAACACTCCCACTTCGTGCCAAGGAGTTATTCACCAACGATAACAAAACAAGTGTAATGTGTGCAGTCAGGATAGCCTGAGTTTATTGAAGGTTGCATTCAGGATGGTCCTGCATTGCGATATGGAGTAAGCTGGAGTACCCAGATAAATCCAAGGGGATGACACTGTAAGACAGGGTTACCCCACACTCCAGGCCTCCCGTGACCCACTAAGCGAATTAACACTGCGGCAAGAGAGCCAATTCACATGAATTCTAGATTTGAAGCTTTCGTAACTGCAAGGATTCATACTCTTGGGCTTTTTCGGTAAAGTCACGTAGGTAAAAACATAGAAATAAAATTATTTTATTAAATAAAAATGAAATTAATAATAGAAATCATTTTTTATTATTATTTTATTTCTATTATTACTTTTATTTTACATTTTTACCTACGTGACTTTACCGAAAAAGCCTAAGAGTAATTCACATGAAGCTTGCGATCTCCGTGTGCCCTTGACGCAGCGGGAATTGCTTAACCACAGCGCGTGGGACGTGTTTAACAATCATCAGGCGCGTGCGGCGTGGAACGAGTTAATTCGCATGTTAAATGCCGCGTTAATTTGGGCAAATGCGGAGAGACGGAGTAGCGTGATAGTTCGCGAGGACTGGAGTTTCGGAAATCCTGATCTCAGGTCTGCACACATGGCTTCAAAAAGGACACCCTCAGTGGCCGAATCCACCTGACCGTGCACTGATCGTGATTAATTTGATTGCCGTGTGGTGGAGTTCAAATATTTGCCCACTCGGACGTGTGGATGATGGGAGAGGCGCTATATAATGACGTGGTTCTTGTTGCCATTCGTGTTTATTTTGATCGAACGCAATTTGTAGGAGGAAAGGGACGAGAATTGCGCGGTTGTTTGTTGGGAAAGTGATAAGATTGTAACATTCTAAAGTTTTAGTCGCTTTTATATCGCTGTAAACCATTAAAGCGAACATTTTTGATGCTCACAATGGAGATCTGTTTTTATATTTGTGTGCGTTAAATTTTTATATTTAGCTATTTTTGCAATGATAATTGTTTTTTTACCCCTTTTTCTGGCAACAAAACTGACACCTTTTTACAAGGAGTCATGTTTGCATAGACCACAATACCTGCAGTCATAATGCAAAAAAAAACATAACTCTGATAATGTATGCACTGTCCTTGAAGTTGATTGGTCCACACCCGAGACAGCTTTTTGGCGTCATCTGGTCCAACACCATGTGAGACTAGGCTCTAAGGAAAGCTGTCTCGGGTGTGGACCAATCAACTTCAAGGACAATGCATACATTATCAGAGTTATGTTTTTTGTTTGCATTATGACTGCAGGTATTGTGCTCAATGCAAACATGACTCCTCGTAAAAAAAGGTGTCAGTTTTGTTGCCAGATAGAAGGGTAAATTTTTTTTATATTTTTTACTGACAAATGAGGTTCCAATGTTATTTTTGCAATGTTCTCATTGTGCCGTTGGGAGTCGTGCCGAGAGGTGAAGGACCCATACGGAGCTCTCGCAGAGCGCGCAACAACCCCGACGTGACAGAACATGGCCCTTGATCGTGGCCCTGCGCACCACGATCCATTGTCAGCGGCGCTGGAGCTGCTACAACCGCGAGATTGGAGCCGACCTCGGGACAGACCACGGTTGGCGTGGACGCCAGGACGCTGATGAGGCGTAACGCAGTCGCGTAACGCGCGTAGGGCAGGCAAGGGGTGCCTTGCCCCCCCTCCACCCTGGTGGCCAATGCTAGGAGTTGGGCGGGGGGGGGGGGGTCCTTGATAACCACCATGAGATTTGTTTTCAACAACAGTGTCAAGGAACAAAACACTTATTTAAAAGGCGGTTTAATTTTTTAAAGATAAAAATGCTCTCATTTACGTTCCACGTTTTATTTTAATTAGAGCAGCAACTTAATGCAAAGAGGAACTACGGAGCTGTGGTGGCTGCATTTGTGCGAGTACGGAGCGCCCCTACAGCGTTAATTGTTAGAGACCGTGAGCGCAACGACGGTGTGATTAGGTCAACGGAACCGCGACATGGAATAGCGTCGAGGTACGGACCGTGCGAGACATCCAATTTTGGGGTCCCACCTGACATGTAGTTACTATGCCACTGATAATGTAGTTACTATGCCACTGATAATGTTGTTACTATGCCACTGATAATGTAGTTACTATGCCACTGATAATGTAGTTACTATGCCACTGATAATGTTGTTACTATGCCACTGATAATGTAGTTACTATGCCACTGATAATGTAGTTACTTTGCCACTGATAATGTAGTTACTACACCACTGATAATGTCGTTACTACACACACTGGTAATGTCGTTACTACACCACTGGGTGGACGTCAAACACCCGGCCTCGTGCCGTGCTCAGCCCAGCGGCGTCGCCACGACAGCTCCAGGGGGTGTGGGAATCGATCAGGCGGGGGACCCCAATAATTCGATCCGTCTCGCACGGTCGCACCTCGAGGATGTTGATATATCGCGCCTCCTCCTGCCCGATCACAGCGTTGCGCTCACCGTCTCGGACATTGAAGCCAAACGTTACTGCTGTCATTGAAATAATTTGTTTTTAAAGAAAGCATGCCACGTAAATGAAAGCATTTTAATAAAACACATTTTTATCTAGTTTTAAAGAAGCGTTTGCTTGGGTTCCGTTACACTGTTGTTGAAAACATCTCGTGGCGGTTGTCAAGGCCCCCCCCCCCCAACTCGTAGCTTTGGCCACTAGGGGGGAGTGAAGGGGGGGGGGCATGGCACCCCCTGGCTGCCACGTTACGCTCCTGGCTCAGGGGTCATGGGGGTCGCCTGTGGCGTCCCTTGGGGACCGCTCCTCTCCAGCCAGCCAGGGGAGGGGCAAGCGACCGACCGATGGTGATGATGATGAAGACGGCGGCATGGAGTCCACGTGTCGCCTTTACATGACACGCGCACAACGTTGCCACTCGTCGTTATGGCCAAATAAACGAGAGCTGGAACACGTTTAAAAATGTGTTCGCAACGCACGCGTCCGCTTTCTTTATTTATATGTTTTAAAAGTAACGGCTCGGTAATAAATAGAAAAAGTTGTAGGTGCTCGTGTAAAAAAGGGGGTGACTGATAACCCCATAGCGGGATCTTGCTTAACTGGGAGATGTGGCGGGCATGACGCAGTCAATGTATGTAAGTTGAACTTCCTTCGCACCGTACCTGTCCAACCGCGCAAATCTCAGGGTGCACGAGAAGCAGTTCTAGAGGAATGAATACGAGCCAGAGGCGGAGTTTGACTTCGACATTTGGGGAGCAGGGGTTCGCTTTGTCCCTCGCATTAGGAGTCGTGGGTGTTTATAATTTGTTTGACTTTACCGAAAGAACCAAAGAGTATGGATCCTTGCAGTCACGAAAACTTCAAATTTTAGAATGAATCGCCTCTACGGGGAGGGCTTACCTGGTGATGATTGCTTGTGTTGCAATCAAAACGTCGTGATTTAATTTACTTTTATTTATTTAAAAAAAATGTAATTTCTATTTTTATCTCTTGTTTTTTTTTATCTTCTACCTACGTGACTTTACCGAAAGAACCAACTAGTATGGATCCTTGCAGTCATGAAAACTTCAAATTTAGAATGTATATAATTACTCTACTGAAAATCAATTGATAGATGAGCCCCCCCCCCGCCCACCCACACTCGGCCCATGATATTCACACTTTAAACAGAACGAGCGACGATTCATCTACTACTTTCTCGCATCCAGCTCTGGCTCTCATCCCACGGGTATCGAACGCAATGATTTGCGACCCCCCCCCCCCCCCCATTTACTTGATTGATCTCACGTTTCCATTTTTTGTCCCATCACAGCGCTGCAGACAGTTACGACTATTTCGCAAAATTAATCTCGCGAAATATAGGGGGGGGGGGGGCTGAGTGTTTAGCTGCCGCACATCTCCACAGGTCGTGGGCTACACCAGCAGCAGGTCCATTCATTTGCAGATGACGAGAAACGCTTTGAGTTTTCTACCACAAGGTGGCAACCAGAGAGAGAGAGAGAGAGTGGAAACGAGAGTGACTTCGGGAGGAGGAACTTGCGGCTGGGTGGGCTTTGCCAGTGAGGGCCCAAGTGGCCAAATACATGACAAACGAAGAAAGTTTCGATTTGAAGCTTTCGTGACTGCAGAGATTAATCTTCTTGGTTCTTTCGGCAAAGTCACGTAGAATGGAAATAATATGTTTTATTTTAATTATTTTTTTTATTTCCATTCTACGTGACTTTACCGAAAGAACCAAGAAGATGAAACGAAGAAAGGTCAACGCGTTTCCGATAACGCCGAGGCCCTGAAAGGAGATTTCGTGTTTGGTAAACGGCAATGACCCCGGTTTACGTCGGGGATGCGTTCCCGAAAGGTGCGACGAGGAATGTGGGAAGCGACGTACATCGAAGCGACGTACACAGGGTTTGTGTCGGTGGCGGTGGCCGAGAGGTTGAGACGCGACGGACGGCGAGAGAGGAAGATGCTTTCTGCGACGTGAGCGTGGGGTCGAGGCGACGCCAATCGGGTCCCGGTTTGAATGTAAGTGACAACGTCTTTGCGAAACGACGTCAAATGGAGGAGACGTAATTCGGAGTATTATATATATTCTGACAATGGCTGTTTTACAAAAAGCAGACAGATCAATGATTCCCGAACAGAGAGATATGAATTATTGATAAGGGTCGTTGCCTGAAACGTCGCCTATGAAACACGTATTTCTGGGGTTTTTCCGTTTTAGGGGACGCAGTGTTATTGACGGGGACGTTTTGTGAATTTCGTCACGTGCGGTTATGCACCGCTGCCGACGCAGGTACTGTGCTGTATCACAACACAAGAATGGAAAAACGAAAATGAGAGGCGGATGCTCGGAGCGACGTGGGCCACGGTGGGAGGAGGAGGAGGTGGTGGTTGTTGTGGTTGTTGCGCGTTGGGTGGCTGCAGGGGGGGTGGGGGCTGTGTGGGTTGAGAGGGGCGGGCCGCTGGGATCTCTTGGGCACAGAACAAGAGAACGTGCAGACGTGGTGAGGGTGGGGCAAGACGAGAAAGTCGGGAGAGGAACCAATTGTGTTGCATTTTGAGAGGGCGTCTCCTGGATGAAGAAGAAAAAAAATCGTGATAAGCCACACAAGCTCTCTTGACCAAAGAGTATGGATTTTTGTTGAGCGTAACAGAGATTAAGTGAATTACTACGTTCATTTATACATTGTGTCTTTTTTGCGTTGAACCGCGGGCCACATCATTTTAAGAGAGTGCGCTTAGCATCGGCATTTAACTCGCCAGACGTTTATGAAGTGACTCTCTGATGATTCTAGATTTGAAGTTTTCGTGACTGCAAGGGTCCATACCCTTTGTTTTTTCGGTAAAGTCACCAAACAGTATGGACTCTCTGATGGTTTTAAACCGCTCCAGAGGATTGCTAACTTAATGCAAGCAACGCTTGCATGGTTAAACATATTTTATTGGAGTGTGGAAACAGAACTCATTGTATTTGCTGTTCGGTTTCTTGTGTGGCCATTCGTTTTGTGCGGGGAGCAGATGCGGGCTAGCATTGTAATTACTGTCGTGTGGATTTCCAAGAAGAGTCAGTGACATATAGGCGGCAATATGTTCAGGAGCGAAAGGCCAATGTCTCCGATGTTTGTTGGCCGCGACGAGAGGGCTTCAGGATTGAGTTATTTTAGTTATGCTCTTCGCAGACTCCAATATCTGGCCCATAGTTTGGGTCGAATGGCCACAATCGTACTGTGGCTTGTAATGTTATTGTAGATTCAGAAAATACGTAGATTACGCTATGTAACACGATTCATTATCACGGTTTTTTTTACAGCAAACACCCATCCTCCCCCTCGAGCGTGTTTTATAGAGGCTCTGGAACGAGGCCAATGTTTTGGGTTTCGAATCTGTTTAGAGTCCCTCGTGTATGTGGCACAGAGGTCGCAATCGGGTACCCGAT